AGAAGCAGTATTTTTTACCCCAAATAATATTTTATATGAAGTTCCATATGCCTCCTTTTTTTCCTGAATAAATAACAGGGTTTTTTTTATGACTGATGCTTAATAATGTTTGCATTTGTGCAGTAAACATTTATTTCTGGTGGAATATTCTATTTATTATTTTTGCCAGTGTTTGAGGTGGAACCAAGGACCTTTTTAGTGGTAGGCAGTTACTCTATCACTGAGCTGCAGCTCCACTTATTTATCTATCTATCTATCTATCTATCTATCTATCTATCTATCTATTTATTTATTTTGAGCCAGAATCTTATGAAACCCAGGTTGGCTTTAATATGTAGCTGAGGATGACCTTGAACTTCTGATCCTCTTGCCTTCTGCTGGAATTACAGATATATACTGCCACACCTATTTTCTTTTTGTAAATAAGGATTAAATCATATAGTCTATCTGATAATGCTGACACACAGTAGACCTTCAGTAATTGTGCAGCCTTTTTTTTTTTTTTTTTTTTTTTTTTTTTTTTTTTTTAAAAAAAAAGAGATAGGGGCTCCCTGTAGCCCCAGCTGTCCTGGAACTCATTATGTAAATCAAGATGGCCTAGATCTCACAGAGCTCCACCTGCCTCTGCCTCTGGAGTACTGGAATTAAAGGCATGTGCCACCATGCCTGGTCCAAATCATTTTTAAAAGCTTCAGTTTATACTTCAGTCTTCTGTTTCTATTAGAGCTAGCAGCAGGAACTTTGGTCTTTGAAGGGTACTCAAAATGACCAGGTTAAGGAAACTGTAGTCACACACTGTTCCATTCATCCTCAAAGGGCCAAAACTTCAGGAAAACAAGAAACAGGGAATGACCAGTAATGGAAGCAGGAATGGCCAGGCCTTGACCTTCTTTCATTGACATATAATTTGTTTAAACTTCAAATATTTTGCCAAGGCTTAAGACCATTCAGCAACACCAATGGAGTGTTTCCCAGAGGTCCCACTCATTAAATATTAAGAGATCAGAACCTGGGCAGTCATCACTGGCCAACTTCCAAGTTGACACACATTTTCATTAGTGTCTGTCATATCTAGACGTAGCATCTTTTATGTTCTAGACACTGTTAAAGGTTCGTGAGTTTAAGATGGATACAGAACATGTCAGGGATTGGAAATGCTGGTTGACTTAGTTTCAAGATTGTGGCTATGTCCTCTCCTGAAGGTTGGCCCTGAGAAACCCTTTGTGTCGATTTCACCAAGAAGTAGAGACTTTTCGGCATCGGGCCATCTCTGATACTTGGCTGACAGTGAACCGAATGGAGCAATGCCGGACAGAATACCGAGGGGCATTATTATGGATGAAGGACGTGTCTCAGGAACTTGATCCAGATCTCTACAAGCAAATGGAGAAGTTCAGGAAGGTAGGAAGTTTTCTGAGGGTTGTGGAAAGGGTTACCTCCTGGAAAGCAATGAAGTGTGATTTGAATCCCTCTGGCAAAGAAGACATAACTCAAAAGCACCAAGGATACAATTAATCATTGCTGACATTTTTTAAATGTGACAGAATACCAATTAATGTGATATATAATTCTCTAAAGATAAGATAGAACAGACAGCTGGAAATTGCTAGGATTTAGTAACTGATTTTAATTGAAGTCAGATTTTCATATAATGTGCACTTTTTGTAAGGTTGTCACTTTTAAATGCCTTTTCATGCATAACTAGAAATCAGATCACATGTATCTAGAACATGACAACAGACAGTTTGGGAAGTCTTTTTAATTGCTAATTCATGTTAAAACTAATAAAATCAGAACTTCTGTGACGCATTCAGAAGCACTGGTATGGTAGTGAGATTAGCCGATATGTTGATGTGGTCTACTATCGTCCCCTTCAGAAACTTCTCTAAAGCAAATAAGTAGCTAGAGAGATTAATAGTCTCCTAAATTTCCTTGAATGAACTGGTGAGCAGTCTTCGGTGCATTTTTTAATTACCTTGTGTCAGCATAGCTGTTTGGAGATTTCTGTCATCCAGGAATACATCCTACCACTGGATGGCAGTCATACACTGGGTATTTAATGAACATGTGGCGAGATTTTTTTTTTTTTTTTTTTTTTTTGTCCTGTACTATCTTGGTACTTCTTTGTTTGGGCAACTGGATGTGTTTTGGGGTGTGAAAGAAAAAAAAATCAGCCACATGTTAGGCTTGACATAATATTGTGTCAACTGTCTTAGTCATTTCAGCTGATCCATTTATAATGAGAGATACCTCTTTTTTTAAATATTTTTTATTTATTTTTATTTTATGTGTATGCATGTATTGCCTGCGTGTAGGGAAGTGCACCCGTGTCATGCAATGCCCATGAAGGACAGAAGACGCTGTCCCTGGAACTGGAGTTACGGACAGTTGTTAGCTGCCATGTGGGTGCTGGGATTCGAACCTTTGTCTTCTGCAAGAACAACCAGTGTTCTTAACCATTAAGCCATCTCTTCAGCCCCATGTAATGCGAGATACTTCTTTAAAAACCCATTTTTCTTTTTGAGGACACCACTTTTGAACGATGAATGTCAAACCTTGCTGGTACATAAAGGTTAGAGGTGTGGGAAGGCAGGAGGGGACTTCTTTGCTCTAGACCCTGCTCACTATTTCTTGACCTAGATATTAGATCAACACAAATTCCCCTAAAAATCACATTTTCTCTTGGTTTGTAATTTAGACTCCCTCCCTGTTAAGGGGAGGGCATTCATTTTCTCTCTGGTAGATGTCTTCACGTGTTAACATCTGCCTTCTCAGTCAGGCAGGCTTCTATGATCAGGGAAAATCAGGACAGAAAAGTTTCTTATAGACAATGTAGTGAAACTCATTCATTTTGTAAGAGAGAAAAAAAAAAGACAGGCTTTGTGATAGTAAATAAAATGTTTAAGGTTTGGCAGCTGGATGCCAGTGAGCTCAGGCTACTTTGGAAGTTTTCTGGCTTTGTAATTAGGCCAGTAATCTCCTTTGTCATTAGCACTTTATTCCAGGATTGAGGAGAATGGGGTGGAGTGGGTATTTAAAGAAGAAAAACAAAGCTGCCTCCAGGGCTTAGTGCTGATCAGTTTTATTTAGAGCTTCCATAATCCTCACACACATTTTCTTTGTGGATGAGGAAAATGATACGTGTCTTAGATAAGTAGCCCAAGGTCAGACAAGGAAATTGAAGTCTGAATCCTTGAAAATATGCATTTTTTTCCCTCCAAGAGACAAAGAAAAGGAAGTCTAAAAACATGCCTAAAACTGGCAAAGGCATTTTCATAGTAATACATCTCCTGTGAGTTTTCATTCAACTCGGAGTTGTTGGGTACCTCCAGTGTGCCTGATAATGGAAGTAAACACACAATTGCTCTAAAAGGCAGAAGAATTTCGCGTGGACTTGTGTTTATTTGGTTTTGTTTTGTGGGGGTGGTTGCTAGCAGCGTAAGAATGAAATAAAAACCAAGTCCTTCGTCATTTGGTTTGAACATTGAACCATTTCCTACCGTTTAGTGTCATCAATCTGTTGGTTCTGGAAAATATGGTTTTAAAAAATCCTTTGCCATGCAGCAGGAGCTGAAGCAGTGCCTGTCTCCCTAATCCCTTGTGTGCTGGATCCAATTTAATAGCTGAATGTGGTGTACTTGGAACTTGGGGAAATAATATTTTTTGAAAGAAGTCTATTTTCAAGTATGTATTTGATTAGGTTGAACCCTCCAGAACAACAGGGACTGTGTTGGTTCTCTCTAGAGTCTAACCCCAGGGTCAGTCCAGGGCCTGTTCCTGAGTTAGCACTCACATGTCAGATGGTGAGATTCCAGGCACAGTCCAAAGTGCCAGAGCCATCTTTCCTTAGAGCTCTCAGATCTCTCACCACATGCAGCTGACCTCCTGGTGTTTTGGAAATTGATGTATGTGGTTGTACAGGTAAGATAGAACATTACTAATTTGTAGCTTGCTGCCCTCTTTAGAGGGACTCTAAATTGTAAGGTTCTCTGTTCTGTTACAGAGTATAATGTGGAATTTAACTCTTAGCAAGCTTGAGAATCCCAATGGAATTCCATGTTAAACAGTCTCCTTTTATCCTTCAGGAATGTGTTACCTGAATGTATTTCTAAGTCATCTCGAACAGTCACCCACTGGGTACAAGGTACATGCACAAGAGTCACCTTAGGAGCTATCTCCTCTCTATCATTTGGGATTTTTAGTATTCATTCATTCATTCATTCAAGCCCAGTCGTTTACCAGTAATCACAGAGGAATATAACAGCATGAAATATACTGATATCCTGTCTCATATGGTCAACTGAGCATAAAGCAAGTAAACAAGATGCAGTTTGGTATATGATTGTTTAAAGTGGAGTGGTACCACAAAGAACATCTAGAATGGGACTCCCAGAGGAAGAGGCATCACACACAAAAAAATAAAATAAAATAAGAGGAAAAAATTCGTAGCAGTGTTGCCAGTTTAACAGAATCTAGAATCACCTAGGAGATGGGCCTCTGGGATTATCCTGATTACATTAATTGAGGTGAGAAGACCTCAAGCTGCTGCTGCCTTACCTTCCCAGCCATGAACAGTGAGCTAAAGTCAACCCTTTCTTCCTTAAGTAGTTTTGGTCAGAGTATATTATCACAGCAACAGAAAAGAAACTAGGAAGATAGGAAGGACCTGCATGGGGGCAGTGGGAAACAACAGAGTTTCTAGATGGAGAATCAGCTTGAATAAAAGCCTTAGATGAAAGCAACAGTGTCTAGAACCAGAGCCCAGATGAGATGAGTGTAAAGAAAGAGGGGCCTGAGTAATGTGGTTGGAGAGGGATCAGAGAGGAGGATGTGTGAGGAGGGACTGGAAGAGTGTTGAGAAGGGGAGGGCATGGCCAAATATGTGTTCTCAGCAACTCAGTCAGATTTCCTGGTGGAGCAGGATGTGGAGAGCCCAGGTCTCCAGGTAGGGAAAGACACTAGGACACTTTTGTGCAGACCCAGATGAAATGTGGCATGATGGGGTCACAGAAGGAGGTAGACCAGAGAGAAGCACACTGTGCTGACTTCTGATAGACTCTGTAGAGTGCCACTTTAATTACAAAGCTCTTCATTATGTTTAGGAATAAGCAGGATAAACATAAATAAATAGCAAATTCAAAGTATGTTCACCTCCAACCAAGATTTTTTTTTCCAGCTTTTTCCAAATGTCAAGAAACCTTTCAAATAGCACACCATGAGCATGACCGAAATGATGAATGAAAATTTAAAAATTAAACAAAGCAAATGATCTGTTTTCTTTCTGGCACCCTTTGAAGCACAGAGGCTGAAGACAGAGCTCTCCACATCAACATTAGGAGCTTGTATTAAGTGTCTGCATAGGGAGCTAGAAACACAGAGAGGGGAAAGCTTGTTCCCAGCCTTCTGGAAAGACCCTGCTACTCATCTGCTTCTTTTCAAAATGACCCAGAGGAAGGAGATACCTGGAGAGTGAGGCTACATAGAGCTTCTCTCAAGGTTGAAGGGTAGGAGCTGCTGGGTAAATTGGCATGGGTGGGGCTGGGTAGCTGGGTGCAGCTGGAGGCTCCTTCTGACAGTGTGATTCACCCTGGTACCACAAGGTATTTTATGAGCAAAGTTACAACGTGTGATATATGTGCCCTTTGAAGGCAGAGTAAAAGGGTATAATTTAAAAATAGAAGTCAGCTTCTCGTAGCAGATTACATCAGCTGAAGTTGTGCGCTCGAGCAGAGCTTTTGCAGCCCTTGCCCTTGAGAGTCCTCCTGCGGTCAATTAAGTGTCTTGTTTTTCTTGAAAGTCAGAAATGGGATGGAGGGTAATTATTCTAAATGGAATAAAAGCTGTGTTAGGTGTAAGAAAATAGTTCTGAATCCTCTAAAGAGCTAGAATGGAAATGTATACATGGGCATTTGTAGGAGTCAGCCTTCAGATACAAGGATAAGGGAACCAGTGTTTTAACCAGGGACATTTATTAAATAGTTTAATGAAATTGTGCAGCATTTGTTTGGTGTTCCGGCACTGTAATTCAAAAGGATATCTAAAAGGATTATAGAAAATATGAGTGATAGATATATGCTGTTATTCATAGACCTGTCTGTGTCTGTTTGAAATACCGTTAGGTTGTAGAGGCCTGTTAACCCACGTTATAGTGAGAAGGTTTATTAACAAATGTTGGCAGCTTACTAGGTAGTACTTTATTAGGGCCATCAGTCAGTGGTGACCTTCTGTCCCACTTGTGAAGGTTTGGGTCTATAAAGCTTGGTCAAAGACTAATAAATAGCACTACTGATAGTAGAAGGGTTTTTTCCCCCCACTGTGAACAAAGACTTGGGTTAATTAATTTGACAGTTTCATTAATTACTGCTGAAATCATTGGTCTTTGTCAGAGGTCAGGCTCTTTA